CAAGGACTCTCCAATATTGTGCATACGCTACTTGCAAGGTTTAAGTGGCATCAGAGTACGCCATAGGATAGCTCAGGCAAAGATGTATCTCAGTGTAATGGGCAAGAAGGTCCACTTCACAAAGCACTTCATGACAACAGGAGAGACAGAATAATAAAGAGGAAAATCTTGGAAGGCGGAAGCAGAGGATTCCCTCAGAAAAATCTGTGTACCTGAGAGTCTACCACTTGGCGAAAAATGGGAACAGGTGGTGGGAAAATACAGAGACCTCACCAAGGTCAAAATAAGCATGGACAGAGACAGAAGAAATGTTGCGGCTTCCATCAATGAGAGTGATATCAACGAGACTGTAGACAAAAACACAAAAGCAGGGGATCCTGTAATTTATACAGATGGCTCAGTGAAAAGAGATAGCCAGCGAAATGGATAGGAATTTGTTGCATTCGCTAACAATAAAATCATCAACAGTGCATCTGGAGCCTGCAGCAGGGCTACATCAAGTATGCGAATGGAAATTTAAGCCATCACTACAAGCACTTGAATGGATGACCCAATATCGCCTCCACACAACCCATGTTGTTCTCATCACTGATTCCATGTGTACCCTCAGAGGGATAAAAAAAAGGTTTCCTGAGAACAGAATGGATTCAGCTTATCGAAGCAACGCCTATATGATCGCTCACATGGATTTTCTGCCCTGGCTATGCAGGCGTTCAGGGAAATGAAAAAGCCGACTGACTGGCTGGTGAGGCCACCTCAGTTGACAGCACGGTTCAAACAGATAGGGTCAAGATCCTGAAATGTCCCTCTTGCCAGCTGGTTGAGGAGGAAGATAGGGAGGCAGAGGGAAGTACTGCAGTGGAGAGGATGATGTTTTTGGGAATACAAAAAGGAAGTGGAAAATCTGGCATCCTTGCAAGAAATACCAGAAAAACGTTCAACCAGATATGCACTGGCACAATCAGTAGAAAGACCGTCTGCGACATTTTGGAGAGAGCAACGGAGCATCAATGGACATGTCCGGAATGCAGGATGTTGCTTCCTGAAACAATGAACAATGAAGAGGAATTGAACTTACTGAACTTACATTTCCTGCTTGCAGGTGTGAGGCAAAAAGCCTGACCTTTGGACCATAGATGCCAGTGAGACATCCCAGTCAGCAGAAAGAAAATGATACACTTGATAGAACACCTTACTCAGAACTTTTCTGTGAGCAAGAAAAAAGGTTGAAGCATTATCTCACACATGCAGGTACTGGTATGGAAATCAACACATCGAAAAAAATCTTTTTATAAAGTGTGAAGAGCATTCAGAATTGCTATGTACATGTGCTATTCACAAAAGATAGGCAATCATGGTACATCTTGAACAGACACACATCCGTACGCCTTCCTTGATTTCAAATGTATTGACCATGAAGATATGAAGGAAGTCAAGATCTAAAGTCTAAAGGTAGAGGAGTAGTACTTGAGCGATCTACTTCCTCTATATCTATCAGCCACGCAAAATTGTATCATGCATTATATAATGCTTTAACTCTTTAAGCCCTGAGTTTTTTCTACGGTTTCCAGTTGTTTTTTTCTACCATCATCTAAACCTAGTGCACTATGTCTCATTATAACCCCAAAAGCTTACCTCCAACTTTTAAAAGGCGGAAACAAAGGCTTAGTCATTTACAGAAAAACTTGGTACAGGAATAGTTAAGAAAAACAAGCAAAAACTAGCACTAAGTAAAACGACACAGTTGTCACTAGTACTGGACGCTCCCAGCATCCGGTGGGGAACAGGGTTATTGCTGCCGGACGCTCCCAGCATCTGACGGGGTTCAAAGAGTTAAGACCGTCTGTCAAAATGCAAAAGGTCATCTTAATAAGATCAGATCATATTTTTTTCACATGAATGAATAGTGACTTTAAGTTAAAGCTATGTTTACCAGACTCCCACTCCACTTTTGCTACCAGTGTCATATCACACTACACATATGTAAAAAGACGTCATTCCAGTACACAAGACTTTCCCTCAAAGATAATTCATTCCCAAAGGTACGTCTCAATCAAATCAAAGCATTCTCATTGCTATTCACCTCAAATACTTCATCGCAGCACTTATTATACAACCTCAACAAAAACTTTGTGAAAATATATTTTCATTGGTTCGTTCAAACTCAGTATTTTCATTCGCAGCTGACTCATGCACTGTCAAAAAGCAAAGTTTTGGAAACAAGACAACAAATTTGTCATAGAAACACAACATAGGTCCCAGGCCAAAGACAAAGGGTAAAAACCTTTGGACAGAGCTTGCATTTTCACACCTTTACCTATTAAACTAATGAAAAAAGAATTCTTTATTTATGATCATGACCACATTCGAACTATTTCCTATGCCACAACCACAGTTCTATCGTCTCTCTCATATCCTTTGCATCATAAAAACCATACGACAGATTTACAAAGAGTAGCAAAGAAGTCACTAAATGCTGATATAAAATATTATAAATCCATGTATTGTGTAAGAAAACAGCACTGCAGACTATTGAGCGCATCGGCTCCTTGATAGGTGCAGTCAGAAGAAGCAAAGCTATCACTGAGCTCTGATATAAAGTAGAGCCATTTTACACTAAGGATCAAACAATGAGCTAAAAGAAGGGTGGGGTGAAGGAATGCAGAGTAGGAGCTGCTCTGTATCCCTAAAAATCCTCCACAACCTAGAGAGCCCATGTTCTCGGACAGAGATCAGTTTATTAGAATTCAAGTAACTTCATTATCCTTTACACAAACATGTAAACATCTTAAGGCCGGATAAAAGAAAAACATATTATGAATGAAAATTTGACCCACCCCAGTTTTTAGTGCCGGCGTCTTTTAGAGTGTAAAAATAATGTCTGAAATCAAAAGTAAGACAACCCTGGGCCAAGAAACGTGTTAAAAATCAAACTCCTAATTCAAAGCGTTCCTACAAATATCACTCCACTGGCCATCACTAGATGGCATCCCAGCTACCTTATGCTATATGAGACCATACACACAGAATACACTCAATGGAACAACTCAACAATTGAAAAGGACCTGCAACTTTCACTACATACATGTGGCAGTCTTGAGGGTGACAATGCATGAATCGCTGGATTAAAAACAATGGAAATGAAACAAAAACAACCCCCCCCCCCCCTCCTAGAATTTAGAAACCAAACAACATTCTGCGTCTTTCTTTGTTGTTCCCAAAAGTCAACAAATTCCATTCAAGTCATCAAGTCATTCACCACAAAATGCACAAAGCATACTTTCCACTTTCACATGGTAATACAAAGTAAAATTATTATGATAAAAAGGTCTTATTTTTTCTTCTTTGGTTTTGATTTGCCTTTCGATGTAGACACAGCTTTTTCACTACCAGCAGCAGAATCACCAATAAGGCCACTTTCCTTGCCTGTTTGGCTTGATGCTCGTGTATTGGGGATACTCTGTGCCAGTTCTTTTAGATCCTGGATCGATTTTGTCATTTCTTCGCCCGTGTCTCTTAGTTTAGCGTATTGTTCAAGCAAATCTGCTGGAACATCTTTCAGCTCCGAGCATAAGGACATGAGTCTGGTGACGTTGGCATAGGAGGCTTCCACTTTTCCCTGGTCAATCTGTGATGTGTCAGACTCAGAGTCCGGAGAGCCAGTGGAAGATGTGGATGAGTTCAAATTTGTCTCTGGCAAAGAGGATGGAAGTGAACCTGAAAAACAAATTACAAAAAGTGTAGGACATACATCAAAGTTAGTCTTGACTTGAACTTTGATCTATTTGCTGCTAGGCGAAAGTCATACAGTGAAAGTAGTAAAAACGAATAGCAGCAAGGCAGGCCTCGACATGAACGTCAAGAAAACAAAAACAATGATCTTATCAAAATCTTCCAGAAAAACAACAGACATAACAGTAGATGGGGAGAGAATCGAACAAGTGCACCAGTTCAAGTATCTAGGGCCACCAGTCACAAATGATGGAAGAAGTGAAAAAGAAATAAACATAAGAACAGCAACTGCAAAAAAACAAGATTCAGTCAACTGTACAAAGAATTTAAATCGAGGCAACTATCACTGAATTTAAGAAAGAAAATGCTGGAATGCTACATCTTCCCCATAATATTCCTACATGGCACAGAGACCTGGATTTTGACAAGGAAAGAAGAAAACAAAATAAATGAGTTTGAGATGTGGTGCTACCGTAGAATGCCCAGAATAAGTTGGAAAACAAAAAAGACAAACAAAGAGGTGTGTCAGATGCTACACAACAAACCCTACTGAACAAAATAAAATGTAGAAAAACACAATGCTATGGCCACTCAAAACAAGTTGAGACCAGTGTGAAAGAGACGTTTGAAGGAAAGATATGGAGGAGAGCCAGAGTAAGGCAAAGAATAACATGGACGGAAAACATAAGAACATGCACTGGCCGGGATGTGGCAGAATGAGCAATGGCAGCTTGCGACTGTGAAAGATCGAGGGTTATTACGCGTCAACCTCTTGGGTCAGAGATGACACCAGCAGTTACTGCTAAACTGAATTTTCAGAGGGGGGGGAGGGGGGGGGTGTTTAAATGTGTGTGTAAGGTTGTTTATTATCTTTGAAGTTTATAGACCTCTCCCCTTTGAAAATTTAGTTAGCAGCAGTGTCCACTTGACGGCGCCCAATGCTGCTTCCCAAAAGGGTACTGTTAGGCTAATATCACTCTACTGCCGTATCAAAGTTAAACCTTACATGTGACATACGCGTACCATTATGGAGAAAAAGCTACTGGAACTGGACCAGTGCAGGTGGATAATGGGTTTTATCAACTTTTCACTTACACTTCCAGTATGTTCATTGATACTGACTGCTATGGAACTTCCTTGTCACACAGCACAGTCAAGTTTAGCAATGTCAATAACATACAATCGTCAATTTTTGGGCATCGTGATCGAGTTATTGGTATCATCTTAAAGCGTGTTTATTTGACTATCTTTTGATGAAATAATACATGCGGATCTCGAATAGAAGTCGAGATATTTGTGATTGAAGGAGGTCGGATTAGCCTGGTCACAGAAGAAAAATTAACGAGAAAATGGCCCCAAAAGTCTGGTGATTTCCAAAGCTTGAGAGTCCATGAAAACTGAAAATTTATATTTGTTGTGCCTTTAATCGATCTTTTTCAGTAAAATCCACACAGAAATATGTTTTTAAATGGACATATAAAATGCTGAACCTCCCAAAAAATTAGAAAAAACCCGTCAAACAGGAGGAAAATTGCCGATATCTTCTATTAAGTTCTATTTCATTATTTTGATGAAAGCCTGATTTCAACACAATGCCTCCCATATATAACAGTTGAACAATTTTCTCAATGAAGTCCAACAAAAGATCTCCATTACTGTTTTTCTCCTCCACCCACCGCCATCTAAATTTGTATAACACTTGGTTCTCTTTGACACAGATCTGTACAATATAGTCAAAAACTGCTTGATTCTATGGAAAGACCTGTTTTGTGTAGGCGTATCTCTTGAACCCAATGATTTTATCACATGCACAATGAAATATATGCATCTGATGAAGTGGTCTGGCCTGAGCTTCACTTTCATTAAATTCGAGAATGCCATGAAAGCAGTGTGTGACTGACATATGAGCAATTTTGAATGACAACGCCATAGTTGCAGGCATGTCTGTCATAAAAAGCTACACGATGCAAATAAAGGGAGGCAAACAAATTGGTAGCCAAAATTGCTTGCTTACATACAGTTGTTTCCCTTAGCCTTTCAAACTGTCTGGCGTCTTCTGTTTGTTTTTGTAAAGTGTTTTATGGCGCTCGCCACTGCATAAGGTCATATGAGCGCGCGGGACACACCTAATATTTTCAGTTG